AAGTATATCCTTTTAAAATCAAGTGAAATAACAAAGCAAGAACAGAAGTTACACAAAAGGCAAACAAATTAATTACCTCGTTGTCAGGAAATTCTCCAATCACCCTGGCGACATATTGTTTCTTCACCTCTCCTGATTCAATCTTTCAATAATAATAATAATAATAATAATAATAATAATAATAATAATAATAATAATAAAACACGAGAGAACAAATTACCAGAACAGGCTTCAGAAAAACAAGAACCCCCGCAACCCAAACACAACTTCCGTCTTGAGAATGATTAAATGTTAAATCTCTCTCTCTCTCTAATAGCTTAAGCGCTTATATGAGATATGGCCATACAACACATATAAACTATGAATTATGATATGGTCACCAATATTTTGAAACACTGCAAAATCTAACATTTTTAACGAACTAGACTCTAATCATTTAGCAGCGACTCAACAAAACCAGAATGTACTTGCCTGTTGCCTGAAAATGTCAGCCTTTGAAGCACTTCGGGCGATGATAAGAAGCCCTGAGACCAAACGGTCCAACCGATGAATTGCTGATAGTTCAATGTCAAGGATATCACAGACGCCCACACACAACACACGAGATGCATATGCAAGACTTAAGGAGTAAAAATTAAATTTGAGCATAAATTTTCACAAGTGAAGAGGAATCAAATAAAAGATAAATTGTTACGCCTTCCATCCACAAAGACGGGGTCGTGATCTGTTCACACAGGTTAAAAAAAAAAATTATATTTAGAAGTTTTTTTTCCTAATATACCTTTTAAGATAATGATTATTGCATTCTTATGATTCTGTTTCGTACATCACGATGAAAAAAAAAAACAACACTTGAGAGTTTCAGCTAGGCATGTAGATATCGGATTATCTTTGTGGGACAAATAAAATTAGTCAAGCCATCTTGATGGACGAAGAGAGTAGGTACTAGTTACTAGTCTATCCAAGAAAAAGTAGGATACGAAACAATGGTGCCAAGTCCTGCTCAGCCTGAAGTATACCAACAACTGTGTTCTTCCTATATTGCCCACATGGATGCACCTGGACATAAGAAATCCTTCTAGGTTACTTTTGTTGCATATTTTTCTGTACAACCACCTTTGGGTGTCAAAAGAACTTTTAGGAATGAAGATGCTCTAAACAAAAGCAGTACTAATCTCAACTTAAAGATAACCAAAAGGATGATTACTAACTTCATCACATACATATAGAAAATAGTTGTAGCACACTGTACACTGATCATGACTCAAGAGAAAAATAATGTAATGGTATAACTCAATTTTCAACAGCACAAGTGGATTACTACCTAAATTCTGACAAAGATCTAACATTTCACACCTCGAGCATGAAATGATACGAGTTAAATTTAGTAGGCAATGACGCAAAGTTCCAAAAGGAATTGTCCATGGTTCTATTGTATTTTCATATTTTGAGTTTAGACAGAGTGAGTTAACTGTGCATATCTGAATCTAAGATAAGATTACACAACCAAAGATAATAAAAAAATTTGGACAACACACAAATAAGTGATGACTTTTAAATCCAGCCATTTTTTCCAGCTAACACAAATGACAACCCTCTGAAATGAGAAAAATCCACATTGGTCTTCTGTTTAATTACAAATTTGATATACAATCGTGTACTCCCACTCATTCATTAACTCTAAATATGAAATAATCTGCAACAAGGTGCAGTTCATATTACATAAGACAGGCTTCTCAACTAAGATGAACAATATCAAAGTACCCCACAGATGACCTTTGATATTAAAGGAAATACGAATACCTATTTTATCCTTGTTTTGAGTATTTTTATGTTCTTTTCACAAAAATAGTAACTTTACTGAAACATGAGATAGAATATATCTAATTATTTATTCTCAACAAAGAGATCAGTAAAAATGCACTAGCATCACAGTCCTTCAAAGGATATTCACAATGGTAAAGACTATAGTGTGGATGAATCAATTTTTTACTAACCCTAGAAAGATAAACAACCACACTGCTAGGAGAAATGAACTTTTCCAGTACAAAAAGCATTTGGAAGAATGATCGAGATGGAAATATGTGTTCAGCAGTAGCAGTCTCTGAAAAAACACTTTAACACAGTGACCACAGACTCATTCAAAACACCATTAAAGATCTAAAAATTGTGGGATAGCAACATTATTGATTATTTTACCAAAAAAAAAGAATAAAATATAATGAAAGAATTCAGCCCTTCCATGGGTAGCCAAAGTAATCGAACTAATGCAACTAGCAGATATTAACTAGTGGAGCTCAAACTTACAGGAACTGATGCAGGTTTATAGATAGTTAAGACATCCGGTTCACTGTGGAGAATCTGAATATCATTCGCCAAAACTGGGGGTTCGTGCCTACAGACTTCATTAAGTCAATTACTCTAGTCACATCATAGTCAAGAGCAATAGCGATAAAAAAAAGGAGGACAACCATAAGTCAACAGAACAACAGAATTACACTTCTGGATACTCCATCCAGAGGATTAAGAGGGGGAAAAAAGAACATAAACCTACTCAGACCAATACAAACCTGTGCAGAAAGTGGCTTATCTTTTATGATGACTGAACGACATACGACACAGGTACAATCTGTCCATCAACTTTTATACGTCCAGCCTTCACCGCACACGCCTACAGTCCACTTAATGCGTCAACGACTTGAACTCGAGAACCTTGTTCAGAATGTACATTTTGTGCTTTCTCTCTCATGAAAAATGAACAATTCACAACAAATAACCATAAAACACAAGCACACTACAAAGTATCACGCGAATACAAAGAGCACAACAGTCCACAACCTGCAAGGTCATACAATATTGTTACAACTTAAACGAATTAAAATTAACACATACCTACAGCTTATCACAAGTTATGCACATAAAGGGAAAAGGATCATAAAATTATACATACATAATAATCGCGATCCCGCCCTTTAAATTCATCCGCGAACAACTCGACAATCGTCTTCCCTGCCCACCTATTCTTAGCCTGCACCATAATTCAGACAAAAAAAATTAACATAAAATCCCACACCTAAAATTACACGAATCACCTCAATCCCAAATATTCACTGCAACAATGAAGCAAAGATAAACAAATTACACAGACCAATGTACACTCACATGTGAAATGAACTCAAAATAGTAGGGCCGCACATATCTTATGCCTGCGGCATGTTCACCGGAAACATTAAACGCAGTGGTAAGTAAAAATACTCAACAGTAGTCGATACGATAAAATAGAAGGTATGTTTTCATTATTACCGTCACGGAAAATGTAATCATGGCGTTGAGGAGGATTCGCCGGAGTTTGCCAGACAATTTCCATCTGGTCGTCGTCTGGTCCGTCTCTTTTGCTCTCCATCTCCGTTTTAACGGGCTCCTAGCATTCTAACCCATTAGAATTGGGGATTTGAAAGAACAATTAGATCAACTGTCCACGACGGTTACATGATAATTTGACGGTTACAAATTTTGAGAATAATTTCGTAACGGGAGCATTTCTCTATCTATATAAACATGTATAAATGTTTATATTTGAAAATACTACATATTAGTACAATGTCCGTATATTACACGGGTGTTTGCTAATTTTTTCGTAAAATTTAAAATTAATGAGAAAAATTGGTTGAAAATTTAAATAACTTTTATAAAAATATACATTATTATATATTTAGTATGACACTTTTTATTTGTGCAACTACATTAAGCATAAATAAATCAATTGAGAAATAATTTTATTTTTCTAATGAATTTTAATAAATATGATTATTTTTTATTATTATAAATATAAATATAATTTATTTATTTCATATATACAATATGGATGTCAAATCGAAGATCATCAAAAGAATTTGATATATTATATATTCAAAACCGATACGAAATACAGAAGTTATCGACTTTTAAAATATATTTATAATTCAATATCTAATTGAATGAAACAAATCAAATGTCAAGGATATATTAGTCACTTAGTGCCGTAAAATTATAAAAACATAAAGGGTTATATTAGTACAAGTGATATTAAAATACCTAAGTTAGCTAAATAATATTGATGAAATGTCCAAACCTAAATTATTAATTATTAGTATATCAATATTATTTGTCCAAACCTAATTACGAAGCATTATTCTTTACCAAGTAGAATTCCGAAGCACCAGAAGCAGCCACGTAGGCTCAGCGTATTCGAAAATACTGGCTAATTTTTTTTATAATATTTTTATAATTTATATTTTATTATTATAGATTTGATCGATAAATTTATATAATTTATACATGATTATTTAAATTTCTTATTCAAATTAACAGATAATTTTATTTTTATTTATATGGATATATAATTATTCTTTATTTTGTACTTTGGATATGAATGTAAAATTGAACATCAGCATATGATAATTAGTTCGATATAACATACGAAAATTTGATACCAAATAAAAAATTATCAAGTTTTCAACTATATTTATGATGGGCAATGCTATATGTACACCCCTTTTTAATAAATTACACAAAGGGCAATGCTATATGTACACCCCTTTTTTACACACAAGGGGTGTACATATAGACACCCCCTTTATGATTTAAGTTGGTCAACTAATTTATAATTATAAACGCTATGCACAGAAGTCAACTCCTAGGACTCATTTTTCGTTAAGTGATCGGATAAGATGTCAAGTGTAATTTGTTAGTGTTATATACTGAAAACTTGGCTTTTGATAATATTATACTTTTACTATTCATTAATGAGAAACATGTTAGATTAAACAAGTTCTACGTTCTGTTGTTTTGCATTAGATAGTGTGGGTCGTCATCGAGCGAACCGAAGATCATGCTATTAATTACTCACGAAACAAGAATAAGTGGTTCACAACCCAGATGGACATGAACACCCCATCGCGAACGGTTGTAGTGTCAACTGTACAGTTTGTCTTGACTGATTAGTTGCACAAGTACATTTATGTATTGAACAGGATCCCAGAGAGGAGCAGTTCGTTTTATACTGATCGTCGTAAACGAACTAGGCCTCGGTTAATTACTGCGTACTCTTAACCCGTAAGATATTAAACATACATATATGTGTAGTATTTATTACTTTGATTCACATGGGTGAGGCTTAGTGAACTGGGTCAATAGACCCGCTGTCTTGGGTAATATTGCTACATGTAGAATGTTCTGTTAGGATATTTACGGTCACCATGTGCATTAGTTTGATGATATCCCCGGAGTGATGTTATGAAGGATTATTATGTTAAACCCTGCAGGTGGATTAAATTCCGGCATAGTAATAATGTGATGAACGAGTGCTAGCTTCGGTGAAATAATAATAAATTAATTAATTCTTGATTGTCAGTAATCGAATTAATTAATGGACATTATATCTTAAATATGGGGAGATAAATCGAGTAATTATTATTGGAGTCTCAATTGTAAATTGGGCTATGAAAAGGGAGTGAAATAATATTATGTTGATGGCCCATTTAATATTATTTAATTAACTAAAATAAGTGGTTTGGTCCACAAGTATTTTAATTAATAGAGCCCTAATCCTAATATCCTAAGGGATGATTGGATATGAATTCAACTAGTAAAAATCTAGTTTTTTTTTTTTTAACTATAGTTAAGTTTGAAAAAAAGTAGTATGGTTAGTTGTTAGTGGGTATATTAAAATAATATTTAAATTAAAATAATTAAAGTTAATTTGATGTAAAAGTAAGAGAAAATGATTGGAAGTGATGGTTAGTTAAAATTATGTGAGTGGATGAATAGTGAATTAAAGTTGGTGTGATGTGTAATAATGATTGGTTGATATTATTTAATTATATTGATAATATTGAAGATAGTGGAGTTGAGTTAAATTTGAGTTTTGAGTGAGATATTTACTGTAGAATTGATATACAATCACGCCCCTAAGGATCCTTATTGTAGCTCTATATATACATCATTAAGCTCATGGGAAGAGAAGAGAATTACACATCTTGGAAATCACGCCCCACGCCTCTCTTCTCTCTCTCAGTTTCCATTCGAGTTTTATCTTCTTCTTGTTGTTCTACTGTTACAAGATTAAGAGGTGTTTGAGATATACAGTAGAAGACCTTTGGGTAAAGTGAGACGAAATATATTTGGTCGTACAGCACTAACCGGAGGTCCGATCAAGACGTGCAACATACCCAGACGACCGTCTCATCAACGAGAGCTTTCCAACGCCGCTGAGATCGCAACCGTCCGACCACCCACGCACCCGCACGCGCCGCCGCAATGTCCCAGGACTGCAACTTGTCTTCATCCATTTTGCACTCGTTTGATCCAGTTTCGATCCGATCTTGTTCGTGCAATCATAGGACTGTTTGTAGTATTTTTTGGTAGTTGGTAACCGAGTTACCCGGACTCGGGTCGTTCTCAAATGAAAGCTATTCGGACACGGATTCAAGCAACGATCAACTCACACAAGAAAAGAAAATAAAAATCCTAAACATTCTACTCGCATGATTTGGAGTTCGGATTAAGCTAAGAACGTGTTTAAGCAAAAACGAAAGCAAGATTCAAACTTTATCGCAAGCAACACCTCAAATTGCAATAAAAAGGAAAATAAAGAGAAAAAGAAAAAGGTACTCCTAGACCCGAGATGGAAAGAAGGCACTCATAGGTTCGGGAATATGCAACCAAGCGAAAGTCACTCGTGATCAATTAACCTCTCAATCAATTCTTGCTCACGCAATCAATAACAATATCACATAATCCCTAGCCTACGAGGATGATAGCATAATCGACTGATGGATGTGCATATCTTAACCCTAGAATAACTCAATAAGTAAAGACAAGCAAGACTAACGAAATCATGAATCTTAAGCGAAGTCTCCACGTCTCTAATGCATCCACGAGAAGAAATAAGCCAAAAAGTTGTAATCTTGATGGACAAATATTACAATTAAGAATAGGGTCTTGGAGTCCTTAGAGAGAGAAAGAAAACTAGAGAGAAAATAGAGCAAAAAACTAAAAAGGAAAATTTAGCAAATGAGGAATTCCCCAAAAATACAAAGCAAAATGTCTATTTATAGCTGCACCACAAACACACACTAAAACACACACATTTAATAATCTAGCACTCGCTAGGTAGCGAACTAGTTCGCTAGGAGAACTGGGCTTGTGGTCTTGTGCACACTCGCTAGGCGGCGAACACATTCGCTAGGCGGACTGGACTCTCGGGTCTCGTGCACGGTAATAGCTCAACAACGGCTCGGGGTTTCTTGGAAAGGCTCGTGCTCTCGGAACTTGGCTCGATTCTACTCTTTCATCCTCCAAAATGGACCTAAAAATTACACCAAAGACAAGAGAAAATATGCCGAACCACAAAAGCACGATACGAGAATAAAAATGCACGAAACACGATAAAATGGACCGGTCGACACTAAAACGAACCTAAAAGCACTAAACTAAAACACATAAAACACATGAATATAAGCACAAAAACACAATAAACAAGGACGCGATTTGCAGTCAACAATTCATTGGTGTGTTGTGTACGGCCATCCAGAAGATCAACCAGATCGCCATAAATTTTAAGCCGTAAGTTCTCTACGCAAACCTTTAGATCCGCTGCTCATAAATTTACGTTTTGCTATTGAAATTTGTGATTTGTGCATAGCGAAATTTTCATTGATCCCAACATAATTATGTATGAATTCATCGTTTACTAGACATGATAGAATCTAGTGGGACAATATTCGGGATTAAATGGACCTTTACCATCCAATACATGATCTACTAATCCATAGATCAAGTTACATATTTGTCCATGAACAGTGTTTTCTGTCGAATATAACCTTCGATAGGGAATAAAATTCGAGTGAACCACAATTAAGCTCGAATGAGAAGATTTGACCGAAAATCTTTCTTAGTTAAGAAAGCTTAATATGGGCTGCTTCAGAGCTAAATTGAAAACAAATCTTCATACATTTTCAAATGCTCAAAATCAATTATATTCGTATTTTGTAAGCAAAATATGAAGTTTTCATAAAAGGATTTTTTAAAATGTATCGAGGTTTGTTTCCCAAAATCTTTTTGTTTCTAAATGCTGCGGATTTGGAAATTACACCATATTATAATGATAAAATTTGTTTAAAATGATGATAAGATTTGAATTGAACTTACCAAAACTTTTCAAAGTTTTGGTTAAGAAAAAAGGCATAAGAATTCACGAAAAATCGGTGCATTCAAATTTTAGAAAGTTGCATACGGGTTTTTCTTATAAAAATTGCACGCGTTTTTTAAATTGATTTTAAAATGTTTTGCTAAATAATTGAATACCATTTGACATTAAATATTAAAATCAAATCCGGATCTATTTTTTTTTTTTTTTTTAAA